ACCATGGCGTCTTAGAAGACGGACTTTCCCAAGATTAGATCTAAACGAAACTAATAAAGAAAAACTGAAAATTAAACTACAGTGACTTCAGGCTCCTCAATAGAACTGTGCACCCTTAAATTGATCCTGAATCACCCTTACTTTTGTCAAATTAGAAAGTTAAGTGGTTCCGAAGTTTTAGGCAGCCAAAGTGACGAACTTTCACCTATATAATATGTATAGAAGATTAACGAAGCATGCACATGTATTTATGTTATTGTTTGTGAGTCCTTGAGTTGGCGTCCAACGTAGTTTTTGTGTAAGTCACTGAAGCTCATAGTCTTACCAATCACTGGTACAGGAAAAGGTTAATTCTTAAAAATGCGTTAGGGGAAAAGTGTTATGGACAACACCCAACACGTGCTGCTCAGATAAGGTCGCCTTTAAGGACAAGCGGGCCAACCCAAATTTCGGGGGTTTCCAGAAATGTTGACCAGCATCAAAAGTGGGCATTGCCCTACCCAAAGGAGAAGTTTGGTTTCATTGGTGTTTACATTTGTTAGGTTACATTGAAAACTTTCCTTGTCTTTTAAAGAAACTGAACAAGGGGCAAAAACTTTACCTTCAATTTTCTCAAAACAGCATTTTTCGGGATAGTCCCCTAGTGCTTAAAGGCGACCATTATAAAGCAATAAGCCGACTGCTGACGTCATGCTTCATTTTTCCACGCTGGTTGTTGAGGATCTCGGCGTGGATAAGCACGGTCGAGGCATGTCAGTTAGTCACATGCCCAGTTTGTCACAGGCCCAGTTAGTCACTGGCCCAGTTTGTCACAGGCCCAGTTAGTCACAGGCCCTAAAGTCCCTCTAAAATGTCAATTCAGTTTGTGTTGTTCAATGTTTCTCCCGTTTTGTATGCAAATCAAATCAAATTTAAATTACTCTGTAAAGTTTCAACTATGAATGTTCTTTCGTTAAAAAAGAAATTGAAAAATAAAATTCAGTTCATAGTGGGCACTACCCTCATTCATTGAAAGATGAAGTTTGAAGACATGGTGTATTGAAGGTGTCAAGTGTCAATGTCTCATGCTTTTCTCCGTCATTGAGTGGAAGTTCGAAGTTAGTTTGAAGATAAGATAAGATACATCTTTATTGTCCAAATCTTGGCACATTGGTTTGGTGTTTCACCACGTACGCAAACACACACACATACAACACACACACACACACACACACACACACACACACACACACACACACACACACACACACACACACACACACACGCGCGCGCACACACGCGCACACACGCGCACACACGCGCACACACGCGGACACACGCGCACACACGCGCACACACGCGCACACACACGCACACACGCACTTACGCGCGGGCACACACACACACACACGTGAAACACACACACACACACACACACACACACACACACACACACACACACACACACACACACACACAAACATGCACACACATGCAGTATGCTTGCACTCACAAACAGGCTTACAGTCACATGCATAATACAAATGAACAGTGGGGGCCTAATAAAAATAATAATAATATAAAGCTAGAGATACATACTCTGTATTCTGATTGTAACTCAAGGGTATTCAGATGCATGATCTACGGTTATTTGATCACTTATAACAAGACGGTTAAGATGGAAGAAGTTCAGTGACTCACACAAAAACTTCTACATAATAAAAGCACAACTTGACTTATTATACCTTACATTAAAAAAGCAAATTAACACTATTAATTAAGACCAATACGTTTAAGCCCACGGATGGGCAGCACGTTGGATAACGATCTCCCAGAAAATGTTCACCACTGTCGTAGCTGCTAGATCTACCCGTGGTCATGCATGTCGTCCTGCAATGGCCACCCCCCTCCCCCCCAAAAAAACACACACACAAACCCCCACAAAAAAAACAACAAACAAACCCAACAAATCAAACAACAACAAACAAACAAACAAAACAAACAAACAAACAACAACAACAAACAAACAAACACAAAAAAAGAGAAGAAGATGAAGAAAAAAAGGCTGCTAACGAAATAATAGAAACAATGACAACACATAAAATATTGGGCCTAGTGTTTCGGATAATTGCAAAAAGATGATGTCCTTATCTTCCGTGACGGCTCGCTGTTCAGAGACATGACGTCAGTCTCGCTTTGTCTGACAATGCACCAACAAAGATTGCAGGAAATGAAGTAGGCTGCATGTACATGTAGTCCAAAACTACAGGCATAGGTTACAAGAGAGTTTTACAGTAATACAATGTTACTGTAAACCCCGCTCTGCTACACTCAAACAGGATACATGTATAACATGTATCATATATAGTGGGCCTATGCTGAACCAAATAGCAGGCCTAGGCTGATTATTTCTGTTTTTGTTATAGTTCGCTTCTGCTTTTTGCTTCTTTGTTTGCTTTTTTCTGTTTTTGCATAGAAACTTGGAATAGTTTCTTTTACTCGAAACACCCGAAGACGGTCCACAGACCTTACCCCCACCCCCTTTCCAAGCGCACTTCCAGTACAGAAAAAAATAGCTCTATGTAAATAGTGGTTTAAAAAAAATTTAAAAAAATAAAAATTTGCCTACCATCCGCTCCCTCCAGTTTCAGTGCATAAGCACTACCCCCCCCCTCCATTTTTTTAATTTAAAAAAATAGATTTCACAAATTTAGATGCATTTTAGTTCCAACTGCCTTTGTTGAGGTATGGATTTAGTTCAAGCGTTTGACTTGAATTGCTATAAACGATGAGTGTGAAAGGGACAAAGCCGTATAACTTATTCTTGGACCGTTATAACCTAGTTGCATCAAAGGGGGTTTTCACTGCGGTCAATCACAAAAAGATGACAGGTCGATGAGGGCAAATCTCTACCTGATCCACATCTCTCTCTGTGTCTGCACGCCCCCTCTCTTTTTCTTTCTCTCTTTCTCTCTCTCTCTTTCTCTCTCTCTCTCTCTCTCTCTCTCTCTCTCTCTCTCTCTCTCTCTCTCACTTCCTCTGTATATCTCTCCCTGGACTCATATTACCGTAATCAGTTATGATTACAGTGCAATTAATATCTGACCTTCCCTTCCGGGTCGAGTATTTCGTAATGCTTTAGGCTTGGCAACCCCCATTCATCGCGCTCCGCCAAAGTTCATTTCCTGTTCTGATCTGGCCTTTCCTATGTGCAGTTACGGAAATTCCAACTCACAAAGACCACTGTTCAAAGGATGACACACAACTGGAGTTATGAAAGTTACATGATCGTGCACAAAAGCACTAACGAAAATCATTAGGGGTTCTAGAGGCAGGAGGAGGTCATGTAGAGAGACAAGGGTTAATGAAAAGTGATAGCTGGACGGAAATAGCTTTAAAAAATATATATAAAAAACCCAGAACTCCCCACCCCCACCTCAACGAACAGGTACTAG